GATGGAAATAGCAAGCCATCTATGACAGGGTTCAAGACAGCTGGTGGGAAAGATGTGAGCATCTCTGAAGAAGCTATGAAGAAGGCAAAAGCAATGTTTGAAATAGAAAGCACAGAAACTGAGAAAAACAAAAACAACAGTGTGAAATGTGAACTTGATTTCAATGCAGGAAAAGTTGAAGTAAACGTACCTAGTTGTACACGTCAAGAAGTAGTACTTACAGGCGCTAATAGAGTATCTTCGAATAAAACAAAAGAAAGCCAGTCCGACCAAGAGGTTCCATTGTTCAAGGTTTTAACACCATCTAAAAGATCAACCGACTCAGTTACCTTGTTCGAGAAGACTTGCCCAAGTCCTATTTCTGTTCATAGTACTTCCATTGTTCACAGCACTCCAATACAAGATGTCGATGAGAACCTTTCTAGGGAAATACTGGAGAGTTCTGCGGCATTGATTGCAGATGAGTCCTTTACGAACTTTTCTGAATGTGGTGGAATTCAAGATGAAAGATTTCTCGTACCTAACGGTTCTACCAAGAATGGGAAAACTGGAAATCCAGAGATGTGTCAATCAGAACCACGACTTTCAAAAAGTATGGTCTTGATCTAATTTGCTTGTGTTTCCTATACTGAGCAATGAATATAGTGAAAATGTAGGGTGAAAATATTTTGTTTGGATTTGTTTTGTAGGAGAAGCTTTATTAGCAAATGCAAGAAGACGCTCAGCACCGGTAAGCAGCCCATTAGTGTCTTGGTGCCACTATAGATGGTTATGTTGATTTTGACAAAAGGTGATCTTTGATTAAAGAGATGAAAAACCAATGACCTATGTGACTGTATCCATCACTCAGTCTGATTGGTCACGATTATAATGATGATGCTAGTTGGTGTAGGGTGTAGTGGTGGTAGTAGTGGCGATGTTATTGGTGATAATGGTGATGATATCGATGGTACTGAGTGATCGTGATGATGATATTAGTAGCGTTGAAGATTGCAATAAAAAAACGAAGGGGATGATGATGTTGATGGTCAGGTAGTAGCGTTGACGTTATTGATGTAGATGGTGATGTTACTGAACATGATACCGATGAAAATGAAGGTCATGGTATTTGAAATAATTAGAATGTACTATTGATTATAATTCCGATTTTATCTACCAGTTTTTAAGTAACGAGGACAGAACCAATCCATCATTACAGACGAGATCAAATATCATGCCCTTGAGGTCCTCTCCTTCTGGTAAGTGTCCTATCTGTTTTATCTAAAACTACTTTTTAATTTTTTTTCAAGTCTTAAAAGATTCGAAAATGTTAGAATCTATAAATTACTAGATTCTAAATACAAATATATTCTTTCCCTTGTAGCGGTTTTGCATGATCGTCGATCCAAAATGTTTTCGCCACCTCTCAAACCGCTAATCGTTAGTCCCAACATGTCCACACCTATGCCTAGGTAAGTATTACTTATGTTTTTCAGCGCTTCCGTATCGTAGAGGCGTCCACATTACAGGGGTGTCCGTTTGAAAGGTGTCGACAGTATTATAATTGGCGTGCTCTGTATTGTGGAAGTATCCGTTTCATTAATGTTAACCCTTTTGTTTAACAAGCTTTCCCCCTGCAAGAAAAGAAGCCAAGCGACTATTCGTGAAGCAAGGAAACTCACTAAATCCATCAGTGACATCTCCTACTCAACCCTCCCCCCTGACTGCCGAAGGTCGTCCATCTGTCAATCAAAGAACTCCAACCACTGCACACACAGGTATCCCAAAGCGACAATTTACAACACCATATAGGTCAACCTCACCTCTCAGTAAACCGACGCCTTCAACTCATAAGGAGGAAGGAAATGGTTCTCCGGAGAGAAAGAGAGCTAGAATTCTTGGTCCAGGGGATAATAAGAGGTCTGCTGCCAAGCCAGAAAACCTTGGCCGTGAGAGTGTGAAACCTAAAATGGGATACCTGTTCAAATTACGCCAAAACTCAACAAGAATAAATATGAAGAAATATGTGGATGGCGCATTACCTAGACGGTATACTGAACAGGAGGTAAGTGGATTATACTCGCCTCAGTAATTAATTCAAATGTCGACTTATGTAATACCATTTTTTCTATGCATTGAAATTAAACTGTTAGTCATTAATTAGCCATTCCGAGGGTGAGGAAAAAACTGGTTCGCATTTGCATTGCGCTGCATTGTGAGACTGCTTTAGGGGACGAAATAGATGCCATCTTGGAAATATGTCAATAAAGCATTCCAACAATGCACTGCAATGCCAACCCCACCCAGTTTTTATCTCAACCTAAAAAACTGAAAATCAAAGAGCAGTTTGAAAAATTGCTATGGAAATGGCTTTCCAAGGGACCCCCAAGTGGAGTGGATCCTGTTTCTACTTGAAGTAAACATTACTCTTTATTATAGCTTCGTGACTTGTACGTCATGGATGACGCAATGGCAGTAACGTCTCATAACGCGGAATCCTATCGGTTTGTTGCGTTGAGGTTCTTCAGTAATGAGACATGCGCATCAAACCAGGGCGTACGAACAGAAGATGGAGGGCTGCTCTACATAGGTGAAGATGGACGGATGGGAGTGGAGGAAATCGAAAAGTAAGTGCTAATCTAACTTTTCAAAAGGCATGCGCACCACATGGAACCCAGCATAGTTTTTACTCGAACCACAGGTATCACGCTGCCACCCGTTTAAAGGCCGTACGGTTTACAGTCAACTCGCCCACGGACCAACTCGCACACGCCAACTAGATGTTCTTCGGTTGTGACTGTAATAGAGGAAAATCAAAGTTCATTGTCCAATAGCAAGATTATCAACAATTACAGTAACTAACTGTTACTGGCTTACAAAAATTCATTTACAATTACAGTAACTACTGTTTTACAACAAAGCTTTTTCCATACTTGTGACATCGCATGCAACGTTGCATGAAAAAGGCTGTTTGGGGCGTTACATGGCGCGATGTTGCAAGCGACTTGCATGTGACGTTGCAGAAATAGAAATTACTTCTGCGTTGTCACGCAACATCGCACCAAGTGTCCGCACATTTATACTCGTTGTCATTACAGAGGATTATTGACGACACCTGGTGTAGATGTCACACTAATCCCACACGGATGGATAGCCAATCATTATAGATGGATAGTATGGAAACTTGCTGCTATGGAGACAGCCTTCCCACGTCACTTCGCTGGAAGGTATTACTTTTCACTTGGATATAGATTTTACTGACGCATTTTGATTTTGATTTTCTCTGCAACTGAAGTCATGAGTTGCTTTTGCTTGGATGTCGGTTTTTGATTTTCTATTTGCCATGCGCTGCTTTCAATTTTCCGATACCGTCACGAGTGAAAACCAGCCTTCAGTGAATATAGATCCTATTTATTATTTATTGTCTGTCTGTCTGTCTATTCATTCCGCACAGATGTCTGACTCCAGACTCGGTTCTTTGTCAACTCAAATATCGATATGACAGAGAGATTGATCGCTCACACAGGTTAGTAGTGCTCAACACAGCAATAAATGAATACCATCTAAAATGAATCTGACTGATGAAGAACGTCATTACATGTTTCTATGGTAATGTCTTCATTGTAATTTGTCTTCGTGTTTTCGCTGTTATGTCTCCATGGTGATGTCTTTTATGCCTCATGATGTTTCTATGGTGATGCTGTTTCACGAGGATGTTTCCATAGAGTTATTGTTTCAAGGGGGTGTTTCCATGGTGATGTTACTACATTACTATGATGATATTTCTATGGTGACGTGGCTTCACGAGATGTGTCCATATAGATGTTTCTCATACTTCTCTATTTTATACCAGATCTGCATTGAAGAAGATATTAGAACGTGATGACCTGTCTTCTCGTACCATAGTCTTATGTGTGTCTAGCGTGACACTCACAAAACGTGACACAGATGACGGGAATGAAGAAAAAACCAGTAGACGTTCTAGTAGTGTAGGTGCTCATGAGGTATGGCATAATCTTTATCATCAACACCTTGATCATCATTAGTACTATCATAATCAACACTGTCATCATTAACGACATCATCACCATTAACGTCGGTATTGGTATCCGTCAACATCATCACCACCAGCGCCTTAGTATTATTATTATCAGTCATCAGTAGGTCACCATCATCATCATCATCAACTACAACACCATCACTGAAAAACATTGTCATCAACACCATCAACAATATTGTCATCAACATCATTAACACCATCATCATCATTATATATCAGTATTAGTATCATCAATTCGTATTATTCCCCCGACACATAGGCATCTACTGTGATCGAGCTCACAGACGGCTGGTACAGCGTCAATGCTGTTCTAGATGCGCCTCTAACAAATCTGTTGTCAAAAGGCAAAATATTCGAGGGCCTGAAGTTATGTATCAATGGAGCTGAACTAATTGGGTCTGATCAAGCGGTTTCTCCATTAGAGGTAATATATTTTGATTTCAAAAGGATCTAAAAGGTAATTTGTCTGCTTCAGTTTGATGTATAGAATTAGCATTGTTTCTTATTTCATCTTGTCATTTTCGTTTTTGCTCTTGGCTTTTTTTCTCGTCTGATCAATTTTACCTAATTTTTCACCATTTGTTATTGCTGTAGTCGTTGGTGTTAGTGTTGTTGTCGCCGCTGCGATTCACCACAACGCTTTAGGCGTTATTGCTGTGGCAGTGTCCTGCCGCTGTTGACGCTGCTGTTGCTGTTGTTTTTTTACTATTCGTGAAGTATTCGTATTTAAATCAATTCTGTGTTCATTTTAGGCTCCATCGTCGCTAATGTTACGTATATCTGCAAATTCAACTCGCCGTGCACGTTGGAATACCCGTCTCGGTTTCCATAGCTACTCCCATGCTTTTCCTTTACCCTTGTGTTCTCTCTACCCCGATGGAGGTGTGGTTGGTTGCGTGGATGTTGTCGTGTTGAGGCAATACCCAGTAGAGGTGAGTAAATGGTATAAATAGCGCATGGTAAGAAGTCAGCAAAAAAATGATTTTATTATATGGCTTACTAGCTTCTTCAATAAATAAATCCTACTTTCACTTGAAGCTAGATGTGCGCGCTTTAATCCCTCGCTCTCCATCCGTGCTCCTTTGATCCCTCGCTCTCCATCAGTGTTCCATCCTAGGATGGGATCAGGTATTTGCTCTTAAATCTACTCTTATAGGAAACTAGAGGTGCGCACTTGAATCCCTGGCTCTACGTCAGTGCCTTGTCATAAGCTGGGATATTTGGATGTCAAGATCTATAGATTTAAAGCTAAGAGTCAGAAAAAAGAGTGTGAGATCATTAATGACCAAGCTGGCGAGGCACCTCAAGTAAAAACTCCATGAATCAGTATTATTTCTGACAAAGACCGTCATATTTTTGAATGCATTTTCCCCCACTATCTAATATTTAGTACATGGAAAAGCTACCAAATGGTACAACAGTATTCAGAAATTCCCGCGCAGAGGAACGAGAAGCCAAGAGGTTTGGGCGTGATCTGGATCGTGCGCGGGAAGATGTATTTACCAAAGTCCAGCGAGAGTTTGAAGAAGTAGCCAACAAATCAGGTCAGTGTAGAAATATTGTACTTTCCATCAGGGCCCAGTTGTTCAAAACCCGATTAGTGCTAATCCTGGGTTAACTCTTATTAAGACCTATAGAGTTAATACTGGATTAGCGCTAATCCAGCTTTAAACAACCCGGCCCAGAATATTTCTTTGAGATAGTAGAGTGAAGGCATTTAACCCGTGAAATACTAATTAACTTGTAATAGTCAAATAGACACACACAAAAAAACTATGGAATTAAGTGAATAAGTCTAATATCTTTTTCACGGGTTAAATGCCTTCACTCTAAAATACTGAAATACACAGCTTATCAACGAGAAATCATGCCTTCGTTTTGATCGCCAGATGCACGTTCGTCCAAGAAAGCGCGCTCATTTTCGCCCAAGGACATCTCAAAGCTGCGCAACGCCAAAGAACTTTATGATGCTTATACGTCCGCTTCTGACCCAAGTTTTTTCGAGGTAAGTGTTACATTGATCTCATAAGGTCTGGCATTCAAGTAAGCTAAAAACAATTCTGGTTGATTATAGGAATGCCTTGATAATAATCAGAAAGCATCTCTTGAGGACTACAGAAGGACATCACTAGACAGCAAACGAGCCGAGCTGGAAAACATGTTTCAAAGAGCCTGGGACGAGAATGATCAGGTAGGGAATAACTGCATGGGTTGCCTGTGGTGAGTGGGGTTCGGCCACGTTGATTGTTGTCCTCTTATACTCGAATCGAAGAGTTCCAGAACCAGATATATGTGCATTTGGATGAGATAGTCCGATAAAAACGACATGTTTTTTCAAAGGTCTACGTTCTCATTCTTTTTATTCGCACCACCACCATCACTTTCATTTTCACCTTTATTATCGTTTCTACACGGATGTCAGTTAGTTTTAGATTTATGTGGTCTTTTTTCCCCAGAATTTATCTAAAAGAACAGTTGTTCCCTTGCTAAAAGTACGTCTTATAAATTATTCAAAGTGTAACGAGGATAAGACAGGTTAGTACACATCCACACTGGAAATATCATATTATACACTTATTCCCATCCCAACCATTTATTTACCCATTTCATTCATCTCGCACATTCCATCCACTCATTCATGTAATCTCACTTACTGATTTATCTATGTATCTCTTTTCTATGTAGAGGCTATCCTCAGCATRTGGCGGCCAAACGAGGACGTGGTTCAACTTCTGGCCGAAGGATCGCGCCTGAGGATATATCACCTGATGGCATCAGGATCAAGGTAAACTTGAAGAGGACTAGTTGACCAATAGAATCTTCTCTCTCTCCCCTCCCCACACTTCTAATCCCCCACTCAATCGCGCAGGCGAAAGGTAAAAATTTAGTATACAAAGAAATGAAATCAAAAAATAAATAAATAATACGCCTTCCTTTATCCCCCTTTCTCTTTAGTGAAGGAATTTTTCATCATGCTAGTTGTTTTTCAATATTTCCCCAAACAGGTACCGCCAGGGATTACCATCCTTACAGGTAAACGTCTCTCACTGCCTATTCACTTTTAGCGCAACTAAATCGATTAGAGATTGCGAGAAGAGATTATCCGCGCATGCGTAGACGAGAAAGGGATAACCTATACCAACAATCATTGCATCATTTGTTTCAGTTTTCAAGTACCCGGAGCACCCGCTATAAGACCATGAGCATTGACCACGACATTACAGACGATCTCTACTCTGAACGAAAGGTAACTAAATACTTACTGGTCGATTTTTGGCCGATTTCTTCTGAGTACCTAAAAAAAGAATTCCCATGTATACTATTTTCAGGATGATTTAAAAAATGCCATTATATTTTGTATTCGTGCAACAAAAACTCGCGCGTAATGAATTATGGGTCAAAATTCATGGCATGTTGCCTGATTTTTGTCATTACGACTGATCTGTATTTTAGTGTACAATTTTTATTTCCTTTTAACCCAGACAACCTCGCTTGATGAGCTCCAAACGAATCCACCAGCCTTGTACTCTGAAGTAGATTTAGTTGGAGTTATAGTATCTGTCACTTCACACAACAGGTAAGAATCATAAATCACTAGCCTTCGGTAAGAATCTGAATCTCTGTTCTCTCGTGTCCTACATTACAACTATGAGAAAAGTTCCTGGGTACACTCTTGAGAGTATAGAGGTGGGGCATAGTTAATAGCTATTTAGGGTAGGGTTAAAGGTAGGGGTGGTGTAGAATTTGGAGGTTGCACTCTTAGACTTCGGTTTTCAGAATGCAACTCGCGTTTTAATCATTTCATGGATGAATTCTGCTTTCTGAAGCTCAAACAATGCCTGGTAACGAACTTATCCCACGTAAGATGGCGGAGCGCATAATCCTCGATCAATCTCTTGATCCTATGCGGCAAGAGTTGTTTACCAGTCTTAAAAGATGTTAATCGTTTTCGTATTTTTATACAGCTCTTCGTTACAGACGGTGTATATCTCAGACGAGGATCATTACCTTGTGTCTATCAAGTTCTGGGGAGGCCTCAAGGTGCGTAATCATTCTTCTGCTTTACGTAATTTTATTCCCTTTTTGTTACTGCTTGCCGAATAAAATGGGTATCAGAGTTTATTTCGCACGTGGCGGATTCAAAAAGATAACGCAAATTCGTCATGGCTGACACCTGATAACACGACACGGTCACGGTACACAAGTGATGACAACCTTTGAACCAATCACAGCACGCGAGAACTCTGTTTATCCAGTGAAAATGGTTCGTTTTTATCATGGTTTCTTCATTCAGACATATGCACTAGATGACCTCGTCAAACCAAGAAATCTTGTAGCCTGCAGTAACCTTGTTGTAAGATCTACTGAACATGTCAGCTGTCCTACCTTAGCCTTCAATGAGCTATCAACACTGACGCTCAAACCAAGAGAATTATATCTACGAACAGCATTAGACCACTTGAACGATAATATACAGGTTAGATACTTGGTCGTGACTTTAACCCTTGTAATTTACGACCTTAGAAAATGGGGGCTCGGATGGTGTATATTTTGATATTCCTATCGAGAAATGTCACCGACTAAGTTGCGGCGATGATCAAACAAACCAAGAATGGTCGCCTGGAAGAGGCATACAATTTAAAACCTCTAGCTAAAATGCGATCTCTTCTTGCGGTCTACAAGCACATAAACCTTTGGTAAACGACCAGTTACCACTCTGTGTAACAGGCTAAGGGTGGTCGCCTGGAGGCGCAAAACCATAAACCTCTGAAAGGCGACCATTGTGTGCGAGACTGAGAATGGCAGTTTTGGTTAGGCGGACATAGCCAACTCTGTTATGCGACCAAATGCGTGATGGTGGTCGAATACGAGAGTTTACATTGTATCTGTATTTTCAGGACATGGATATGTTTATGGATATCGCACAAGGGTCACTGGACAAGATACGTCGACCAGATAATACTCATAATATGAATTGTTCTCGTGTTTCTGACAGAAGTTCACCTTTGGAAGACAAGACAATCAAGGTAATAATGATAAACGACCGGGAATTGGCCCGGGGCGCTGTCATTATCATACCCTGTTCCGGTCGGGTCTTTAAAAATCCCTAAAAATAGCTGTTTACTTATAACTCGTATTTTTAACTTGAACCGCAATTTCTTTGCCTTATCTATGATGAGCCCTGTGTCTAGACTTCTAGGCCACCATATGTATTTAGTTCATCCAAAAGGTATTACTACTTCCAAGATACAGCGTTGCCAAGAGAAGAAACGGGACCAATCTAGCGCTTTCGTCACATTTTGATTTATCGGTACTTATCAACCTCCACTCGACCAATCAGAGTGCGCTATTTTATAATCATTATTGCTTATTTAACTTAGACATTTTAAGAACCTCTTGATATCACAAGGCTCCTTTAAAATGGCGAGAACTTGAAGTAGTTTGTTTTTCATACAAAAACGAAAACCTAAAATATCGAGGTAAATTATTGGTGGGTGAAACGCCAGTGCCGCCATGTTGGACGAAGTTGACATTTTTTTTTCTTTTGGTCACTTTGTGCCAATGATAACTACGACATATTATCATCGATGAATCAAAAGTAATTAAATCATCAAAAAAAATTATAAAACGCTTCTCCGTTTTTTTTTTCTTTTCGGTACTCGCGATAATAATTCATCATTTTTGACACTTGTTTCGAAAAAAATCATTTTTTGCGATAACAAAATTGATATATAATCAGAAGTAACTGAAGGAGCCTGTCTTCAGTACGAGTGTTTCTTTAGCGAACACGTCTTCCATTGGCAGTTTCTATGGTAACAAGATAATACACTGTTGCTATTCTTCCATCATTTCTGACTATTCATACTGTTGTGCTTTTAGGGTTCGAGGACAGAAAAAGAGAACACTAGCAACTTCCAAGGTACATCACCTAAACAATGTGACTCTGCACCAGGTCGCGCACAGAACTTACGAGAAAAGGACCTGGTACCGACACCTGTTTCAAGGCCATTATCGGGTCAATGCAAGCGAAAGCTGTTGGAAAGCATGCCTGAGCCACCTGCCGCGCCTTCGATAAATGTCAGTGTGTCTGACAGTGTAAGGAGAGATTTTAAAAGGCCTAGGAGGCTTACCACAGGGATTCCACAATGAAAATAGACAGCACCACAGGATGCTCATTATGAAAATATCTCACTGAGGAATTATAAATAGATACCATGGACCAAAGTGGCATATTGAGCGATAATGAGCAAGATATTATTACCACAGTTTGACAACACGAGTTTGGACTGTGAGACCACAGGGAGTACATAGAAGGATAAAATAAGAAAAATACTTGATGAACCTCGATGACTGCTACGTGCTTTCATATATTTATATATCAAAAGTGACCGGCTCTTGAGGCTCGCTAAGGGGAGCCTTCTCATATCTTGCATATTATCACTTTCATAGATAGATAGCGTATCTTTCTTACATTTGGTATCCAAAATGCGGGGGAAATTAGCGAAAGTAGAAATACGACGGTTAGGAAAAAAGGAACTCGGTAATGATGTGCTGAAAGCCTTCTGAACCATTAGAAAAAACGATGGTACTTTCATTTCTAAATGTGTCGGAAGCGGAAATATGAAAAATAAAAACACCGTTTCTTCTCACGACGGCTTGAAATGCCGGAGTTTTTATTCAGTTACAGTTTGTAAAGTTAAGTTCTATTTCAAAAAATGTCAAAAAAATATATGATTGTTAGGTAGAAAGCTGAACGCGAAAAAATAGTTAAGAAGAACAAGTTATTTTATATATTTGAGATAAAATGATATAAAGTATTATACAATATGGACTTGAAAGGTTCTTAAGATTATTGAGATTTGAAAATGCTGTAAAATACCGGCGAGTGGATTTGGCATGTTCATCTAAGGTCTTAGTTATGTCTTATGATTACAATGAACGAAAAAAATAATTAAATGCTTAATGATACAATCTATAAAACGCTTCGTGGTTTTTTGATTAGAAATTATGGCCTATAAATAAGAATAATTTTTATGAGTAGAAAATAATAATTTCGATACTTGCATTAAACAATTTGCAATATTTGACACTTGTCTAAAAAAATGGCACTTTTGGCGATAAAAAGATTGATATAATCAAAGACATGGCTTAATGGAGGAATTAGCACAGAAATGGATGGAGTAAAAGATGGAAGAGTGAGATAATTAAGAGACCGAATCGGATTGGCGCCATTTGATTGAGAGTAACACCTGTCTCTCGATTCGAGTTGACCATGATTGGTTCCAACTCCAGAGCGAGGGCATCAAATATGGCCGACTCGATATGAACATGACTGACTTGTATTGGAGACGACAGTCAATTCAAGTGTTTTCACTGGTGACGTACAAGAAATGATCTGCAAGAACGGTGTTCCTATCAGAGCCATGCCAAATATACACGAGGGAGGTAGGAAATTAGAAAAATGCTTTGGTCTACGACTGACTAAACAATGAGAAATGTGATCTGTAATGTTTACAAAACAAGCAAGAACGCCTTGGCTACCGATTTATATATTAATTTAAAACGAAATCGTTCGCGCTAGAGATTATTATTAAGAGAACGAAGTAAACCACATACTTTTCGACATGATTTTTACCCAAAAAGAAAAAAAGAAAAAAATACATAAAAATTAAGCTAGTTTGGGAGGGAAAAAGTTGCATGTTACGTTTCTGTTGTTGTGGAAGTCAGATTTTTGTAAATAATTTGGAGCTTACTAGATTTAATTCTCTTTTTTCCTCTCTCAGCTTTTATTGGTGATATAAGGGAAGTTACTCAAGCGCTTGAGAGCGGCCAGGTGTGTAGACAACTAACGATCAATCGTTTTTATTCTTCTATAAATTCTAAATATTATTATGTTCGCCTTGTTAAAAAAAGTCATAAGCTTTTAGAAAGCCTGAGACAAATTTGTATTACAGACAATTTCGTATTTAAACGCGAAGCAAAAACATAAAGCTAACACTTGATATTTGACTTGAATATCCCATCAGATATATGCCACACAACCATTAATATCCATAAATACTTGAAGGATTCTTAACAGGATTTTTTCTTTAAGTTCTCATTGCATATGCTAATTTCTTCCACTTTTCAATATCCGTTGGTGCATTCCGGTTATTTATCCATTGCAAATACAATGTAGGATTTGCTGTGAAATCCTGTGAAAAGATCATCAACTCTCAATTTTCAAGGTCACTCTCTTAGCAGATATTTTATTGACTAATGTAAGCTATAATTTATTTATCAATTCTGGTATTTTTTTTGATTCATTTTCATTCCCCTCCATTTTTTGTTGGTCTCCTTAGTGATGTCCCACCTTTGGGGAAAAATTCACTTGAAATATTTTAATTCCTCTATAACAAAATCATAGTCAATACACCTTATGCGTTGTGTTGAAATGTTTTGTTTTCTTATTTCAGACAACATATCATTCCCTAGACTTGCCACAAGTCGACTACTTTTTTTCTTGTTTGAGATTTGGCTTTGTCAAAAAGTTAATAATTTTTTCAGGGTTAAGACCTCTACTACTTGTAATATGAGAGGTTGCAGTGAGTGACAAAGGAAGCTTGGAGAAAATCTAGTTATACCCTTGAGAAGTAGATTCTTCGTTTGAGTCATATCCATACACAACCATTAAACTAAAAATTCATGTTGGAGCAGCCAACATGAATTTTACCTTGAACATGGGTTAAGGGGGATTGTGCTGTTGAGAATCAAACATGGTCTGTAATTGGAAAACTTTGCATAGAAAATGTTGTAATAGGAAAATGGTCTATTCTTCTTTTCAAATAAGCCATTTGGGAAAAACACAGAGTTTTAAGTGTAGATGCATGCAGGAACGTGAAATCAGATACCATGCCCAAGGGTAGGTGATTCCATTATATATGGTGACTGCACTTAGTTCTTGCTATAGGTTTACAAACATTAGCATTGTGATGTTAATTTGCCGACCATTATTACAATAGTAAACTTTGCCAAGTTGCATCGTGACATCAGCAAATAGATCTCTATTTGGAAAAGAGCTAACAACATCAAGTAAATACCCCCACAAAGGATAAAATTGATGATGAGGACAATAAGTGGTGATTTTAATTGAAAAAATTATTTGAGAAAAAGCCAGAGGCTTTTGTAGTTAATCGTACTAATAAGAGAGAAAGAAAAGGACTCTTTAGCAGAAGCATATAGAAAATTAACATTCAATTAGCAAAGTATAAATAATTCGTTTAGTCATAGAAGATATCTAGATCTTTGCCAGGGAGGTCGAATTGAATTTCCATGCAAAAAAAAAAGACTTGTATGTTAAAGACTGAAAGTGAATTGGCTTAGACTTGAAAATTTAGTACTTAGGAAAAGGAGAGGCTGAAGCCCCCAGCCACTCCCTTCGACAGTCAGTCCCTGGCCGTGGTGCAATGGGAGATGGGGGGTAGGGTGGGTTTTAAGGAGAGGGATATGAAATAAGTTCTGTGCTTAAGGTGTAACATTGTGATAAATATGCCTATATATATATTCATTCTCAGAGTCCTGCAGAACCAGATGAAACCGGTACAACAGCAGTTCATAAAGCTGCAGCAAACGGCCACCTTGAAGTATTGAAAATGTTAGTTGACCATGGTGGGGATATCAATAAAACTGATATTACTGGCTGTACTTCCTTGCATGCTTCGGCAAGGAATGGACATATTTCCTGTGTGAAGTTTCTTGTAGAACAAGGTGCTGACTTCAGAGTCAAGTCAAACAAAGGAAATACTCCTATGAATATTGCAAAGTCAAATGCGCAGCAGAAAGTTGCTGAATATCTGTCCACTTGTGGTATGTAGTTTATATATAGGTTTATGAATGGGATGGATGATCAATGAGTGCATGGGGGAAGTATGGATTTAAGGATAGATTTTTGGGTTGGTGGGTAGACCCATAAATGGATAAATGGWTRRATGGWTGRATGGATAAATGGATGGATGAATGGGTGAATGAACTAATGAATGGTCATATAAATGAATAGATGAATGAATGAATGGATAAATGGATGGATGTATGGATGGATGTATAAATGAATGAATGGATGGATATATAAATGAATGGACAGATCAATGCTTTAAAGGATTGATAAATGGATGAATGAGTGAATTATTATTAGAGGAATAAAAGAATGAAAAAAATATCTATTATCATTTTTGCAGTAGTATTACCTCTCTTATTTCTGATAATAAATTTAACAGTAAATATTTTTATCTTTTTTTTCACAGATAGAGAAAAGTTTGCTTGGGAAGTGCAGTGACGACATTGCAATATCAAGCCTTAATAATAGGTTAATTTTTAGAACAAAAATTTCTGCTTGAGTTTTTTTCCCAGTTAGCCTTGCCTTAAATTAAATTAATTTTGAAAGTGGTTATGATTTTCTTTTTCACAGTAGAAACTCTATTTAGTGGCCACTTGACAATTCCCTAAGGGGAGCTACTTCTAATATTAGCTTGGCTGTATTAGTAAAAGCAATTATGAAAAAGGAAGAACTTTCATAGGAAGAATATTAATTACGTTCCAAAAAGGATGGTCAAACATTTTCTTGTATTTTATTTAGGGCTTGGTTGGAAGGTCAGCCAAACAACAGTTTAGAATAATTTAATATTTAGAACTAGGTGTTTATTTTTTGATACATGACAGGTGTAGATGGTAAAATTTGTTGAGTTAATTGGCACACCTATATTAGTTGTTGCTTTGAAAAGCTGTGCCTGGGGGCATGGAGCTTGTGTTGAAAAAGACATTTTCAATGAATGAGCATTTTATTCTGCATTCTTGTGCCGTGACTGGCTTAGTGAGTGTTATAATTTTGATATCATTACTTTGTTGTAAGCCATTACTTTTTACCTCAATTTATATTATCCCCAAAGATTTTTTCACGTAACTTAACTTATGTAATCACATCCTCACCTTAATGCATCAACCTGATGCATCGTAGTGCAATAAAACACTAATGTACATTTCAAGCTACAACACTAGATTTAGCAACCGTTACAAAACCTCAACTACTGACAACAACACACCTCACCACTACATCTCATACCTTGCACTATACCACACCTTACACTACACCTCATCCAAAACTACAAAATACTTGAAATAATGCCTGGTCATGTCTGCCTAGATTTGGAAATTTTCCAGTCAAAGCTTGGCTTTGCCAGTCAATTTGACCAGTAACGTTGAGCCAGAAACGAGGTATGACAGGCTAGGACAAATTTGGCCAGTCATCATGAATGGTGACTGATTGGCAGTGTTATTTTAAGGCATACCTCATAACTTAAAGCTAGTGGATAAAAATAATTTATTAATGTTAATGTCTATTATATATATATATATGACAATAGTATCTTAACATATTAATCAATAGTAGATGGAAAGAAATATATATATATTGTATATAAGAGCAATAGAGGAAAGCATGTTATTATAATTTGTCCAGACACTCATTAATTGCCTTTGGAAAAACAATGCTGTTGAAAACTAGCCAATGATTATAAGATATCTCATTTCCAGAGAGTCTAGTCTTGATGCAATAACAGGCTAAGATAAAATTTGTATAACCTATTGTCTTAGCATTTAATTATAACTTGATAAAAAAATTATTGAAAATTAAAATAATGAGTCTGTTTGAGAATTTTAGTCAATGTGATTGGTTGATGGGAAATCCAGCATGGCGTAGTGGTAGTATGCTCACCTCTGGGGTCTCGGGTACGATTTCTGGACTTGGCATCCCATGTGAGTGAGGAGATTGTTAGGTCTCTCCCTTGATTCAAGGGTTTTTCTCCTGGGTCTAAATTGGGTTTGATTCCTGGACTCGGCATCACATGTGAGTAGAGTTTGTTAGGTCTCTCCCTTGATTCAAGGGTTTTTTCTCCTGGGTCTAAATTAGGTTTGATTCATGGACTCAGCATCACATGTGAGTAGAGTTTGTTAGGTCTCTCCCTTGATTCAAAGGTTTTTCTCCAGGTTCTCTGGCTAGTTTTCCTCCCTTGCAAAATCTAAGACTCTGATTAGCAGGGTCATGACTTTGATCAGCCCAGAGGTTGTTTCAAGGTGTAGGATATTTTCTTTTTAAAAGATAACAATTTTTAATTTAAAAAACATTTCTAGCCTAGCCCCCCTACCCCTATAGACATCTTAATATAAACACAGGTATCCCAACTTCAGAACTATCTTCTGGACATTCAGTGAAAATAGACCTATCCTGAATTCACTTGACTGGCCACGAAACAATGGTTTCAAGTCGAGGTTGAACTTGATGAATAAAAGAGTCCAGTTCAATCTCGACTTCAAACCATTGTTTCCTGGTCAGTCAAGAGAATTCAGGATAGGTCTATTGACAAAGATATGAATTTTTGATATATAAACGATATATGATTGCATACCTTTACAAAACTTTGCATTTTCATTATCAATCTGACAAAGTTGATAGTACCTTATCACACTTGAAGACATAAATGGAAGACAAACTTTTATATTTCTGTATTCTTAATTAGTACACATTCCGATATCTTTATCATAATTACAATATAACTAGTAACTACATTTATATTTAATCAAAGGTAGAGTGCATTCAGTCAAACTGTTGAATAGTTAGATAAATGTATCTAACTTAGATAACTATTTAGTTTACATCAACTAAAATAGTAAAAACGCGCAAAATAACGGTCATGCTAATCCGGGGGGTTGTTTTACCAGAGAATGAGTAAATAGACATTCATTTGTATCATCGTTTCTCCCCCTGATCTCATTAGCTGTTTACTTGTAGTTTCAAATTTAGTTGATGTCACCTAAAATAGTAACTAACTTATCTAATTTAGGTGACGTACACTATTCAACAGTTTGACTGAATGCACTCTAAGCAACTTACTCATTACCAATTGTTAGTAAAGTTCCACTGAAACTTACAGTCATTGAAAAATATTCAAAACGTTTGTTGATTCTAATCTAGAATTAGGAAAAATTTTGCTAAGAAGGGCTTAGTGATAGAATTACAGGAAATGTCTAATAATCTAAAATATATATAAATTTGAGGATTTTTCTTATGCACTCATGAATAATGATTCGGTATGTCTTAGAAAGCCAATCTCAAAGGAACTCTCAGAGAATCTACCCACACTTTGACGAGCGTTGTGACATATTGCCGTTCTTTCCTCAGGACTCAATGCAATAATTGTCTCCATGGCATCAGCATAGCTCTTTACGTCACTGGCTAAAAACCCTGTCACTTTTCCATTCCACTCTATTACGATATCCATCTTGGGCCCACCAGAATTATGAGCAAGTATAATGCACCCTCCTGCCATGCACTCGACGACACCAATACCAAAGTGTTCATTCCACATCGTATGAAGCCCAATGGTTGCATTGGCAATGTAGTTTAGAAGCTCTTCAAATGAAACATTTAAAGCAAACTCAACATTGGCTCTTACTTTCATATCTATTGCCAACTGCCGCAAGGTATCAACACGCTTAGCATCTTCTTCATTTCTGCAGCTTCCAATCAGAATAAGTTTGTATTTACTCTGCTCTTTCTTTGGCTTGCGCTTGAGAAACTCTGCAAAGGCCTTGATTTGTAGTGGATGGTCCTTTTCTGGTCTGAACTGAGCAATGGAGATAAATAGGTGCTGTGGATCACCCTTGTTTAGGTTGATTGGGATTTCCTGGAAAGATTTGGTGTCGCATGGTGGATACACGACAGATGTTTTGAGCTCCTTCCTCCAGAGAGAAACAATATGGTCGTAAGTCCAAGTAGAGTTGACCATCACCTCATCAGCGCACCTCCCTGCTATCCCATAAGCCTTTGCAAACAGGTGATAATAAGCAAGCTTTACGAAACTGAGAATGCGACTGTTGCTGATGAATGAAGCATTGTTATAGCTTGAAGCCTTACTGCTCACACGCGCAAGCATATCTGTGCTGATGGTTGGGTAATGTACATAGCAACCAACCTGACAACCACCAACATACTTAAATAAAGGCAATGTAAAGGCATACCCCATTGTATCAATGTAGATATCTGGTATATAGCTGGTTAAGGCCTCCCATCCAAGAATAACTGATCCAAAGCTTTGACCCAGTAGGGTGAAATAGGGATACATAGCAGCCTCAACCCAGCGTCTTTTCTTCAAACACACGAACTCGACTGGCTTTGGAAGTGAAATGTTAAACCTTGTCCGTGCTTTCTCGAGGATCTGCGCACCAGTAACATCCTGGTCACCAGTGTACACTACACACTTGACAAAATTGTACCTCTGCTGTATGGCTCGTATTCCTACCCACAAAACACGTTCTCCGCCACCACCAGCATTGCAATAGGGGTGAAAGAATCCTACGACAACAGGTTTAACGTGTATTTGACCTGGTTCAAATTTTCGTAGATGTGGCATTGCCTTCCTAGTGGCATGACGAACGTAGACACCAAGCATAACGATGAGCAAGTAAAACACAATACTGAGCGCAATCAGGAGTAGAATCACGTACCCAAGGAATAAAGCAACGCTACTGGCTGTTATCTCAGGAATTGTCCACATTTTAGCGAAGAAAAAAGGATTCCTACAGAAAAGAGAATTTTTCCTTCGAATATCGAGTTTTCTTCTCACTGATGTAACCGCTGACCTACTTTTTACTACCCAGTCCACCCAGACAGAGTTTGACAAAGGGATCCCGCACATCATGAAAAATGTAAAACTGTTTTATTTTACGCTTTTCACTGGTGATGTAAACATGCTAGCACTTGTTTATCCTCGGTAAATTTGATTCTTAGAACGTGTTTGCGTCAGTGATTCATAGCACAATGTCAAAAGAACAGGTAATGTGCGACGTCTGGGGGAAATTTCCCCCCGATGACGTTAATACATTTTTTCAGTAAAAACCGCTAAAAAAATATGTAAAATCAGTTCCTTTTAAAATAACTTGGTTATCTAAAGAATTCAAATGGGCTTTTAAAACCTTAGCTATCTTTCCTTTTGATTCAGGATCAGTACGCCAAACAAAACGCGATCGTTAATTTACTCAGCTTGAAGCATACAAATGCCAGCTTTCTGGAAAGCTCCAAAATCATGAAACAATTCAAATGGCGGTTTTGATATGGCCCAAGATATTTACTTAATTTCCCCCGCTCTTGTTACACTATTATTTTCTGACAATAGAAATGCTATTACATATAACAATAGAATTTGTTGGGGGTCCCAGCAAAGATCTACTGGTAACAATGCCATAATCCGAAGTAAGCGTTGTCAAAAAAAAAAAGTTTATCTTGCGTTTCAGTCGCTAATCCATTTATCCGTACATTTTATCTTCGACAAAAGGAAAAAAAATAAGATAATTTGTTTTTTTTAAAGAATTTTCGTTCAGCGACACGACTTTGAATGATCAAATAAAGCCATAAAATAGATCTATGGGAACGTCCATCGGTGCGTTTTAGGCTTTTCCGTTAAAATTCAATACGTTTTAAAATAAGCATTGTCACGAGCCGTGAGATTTTTAAGTTACGTAATACTACGAGGAATGTTATCTCGCACATAAAYCCTAATAGCTTTCGATTGCCATTGATCAAGAAAAAAGTCGTTTAAAGAACAGCACTGTCCGCTTCGCGGCGCAGTCAGGTGTGCCTGATTAGACCTAAAACTAAACGACAAATCGGAAATGCTATTTTTAATGCTTAGTTATATTTTAAGAAATATAACTCAGGATTTAGTGTCAATTATCACATTTTTAACTTGCATTAACATTTTAATATTAGGTTTTCTCTCTAATGCGACTTTTTGACAAACATGTCAAGTTTTGAAACCCGCCATTTCAATCATTCCGTTATGGAACTTGTTGAAAATTTCGGTAGCGTTTGTAGTTTTATAAACAAGCTCTCATGTGTTACTTAAATGTAAGGAGACATGGCAATTCCGTAACTCGACGTACCGGATACTACATCCTAAGAACCTGCCGAAGATGGAAGATTTTCTCTCGAGTTCTGCGTCATATATTTTTTGTACGTTAAATATCGATCACTGATTACCCCTACTCAGTTGTTTCTGTCGGTCGTTAATTTTCTTGCGAAGTCTTTCGTTTCATAACTATATCTCAGTGTAATCCTTGCTCTCCTTTTTCGTCTTTCCTCTCTTTTCTTTTTGATTTCATTCCTTCTAGTTTTATCGTTTGTCTCTGTTTTTTCYCGTTCCCTTCAATTCTCCACTCTTTCTTTTCCATTCTTCTCATCCTTTCATTTCTATCTTCTCATTTCCTATATCCTATCTTCTATTCCTTCCCTTCTCCCCTTTTCTCTTGTTTCCCCTTTCCTTTCTTCTTATCTCTTATCTCATCCTTTCAGTGACCAAAAACTGCGTAGCCAAAATGAGGCATGCTTCCACGATACCTCGACTAACATCCTTTGTAATCGCACTTTTTAGAGCTGCGTTCTTCTGTAACAAGAAATTGTTCTTAGAGTCTCAGTCAACTCTTGGTGCCTTACGTCAAGAAAGGCGGTCATTCGTTACGTGCAGATGTTCGTGTTTAACATAATGAAGTTTGAACTGAGAACAGTTATCCCACTATCATAGTCATGGATAGTTTATTTTCAATCTTGAGTCCATCAACCAGCCACCGCACATAGTTTTTCATTTTTAAATTTTCATATATTAACAATGAAAGTTAGTATCCCGTCAACTTTGCCGTGGGAGGTCCTATAGATTGCCTTGAGGGAACTCACCGACCTACTAAAAGTCACAATACAACCCCAAAAGCGTTAAGTTTTTCACCGCTCCAACACTCATTTCCTCATTGATTTCACTGGTTAATTAAAGCAACGATTTTAATTAGAATCAACAGACCCTGGACGCCAACATTTTTTCTTTGCATCTCGTTTTGTTCGTGACGATAAACCGAGAAACAATAACGTTGTTTTTGTAGTTTACAAGTGCAACAAATTAAAAACAAGTACTAGAGATTTCTACATGATAGTATAATTCAAAATAATAAAAATGTCTTATATGGCTGTTAATATCATATAGGAAAAACATATAGTCATTTCTTTAACTTCGTATATAAGCAATCCGACTCGCGCATCCCAAGTTTAAGCAGATTCCAGTAAAACAATCAACTCTACCAACCAATACCTTAGATTTTGCTAGAGTYGTGTCCAAGCTTTTGTAGTTTTGTTCATTGTGTTTATTTGTCAGTCTATAATTGTAGTGTTCAGGACACAATTAATCCGACAATCCGCTGATTGGAAACGTATTTTCTTCCGGACTGCTAAGCTTGTGTGGGAAGGTACTGTGTTCTAAACTCCATAAATAAGGCTGTTACGGAGACCTACGAACAGACCACCCGATAGCTATTCAAGCACGAACAACTCTTTCAAGCAGCGAAAAGATTCTTATTAGCTTATAGTTCAGGATGAATAGTGGAAAAATCGCATTTCTTTTAGTCCTTAGTATCATAGTGGTATCAACTATAGTCCAAGACGTTGATGGAGTAATTTCCACTCTAACAGTGAACAGACCCAAAGTGCAGAAGCCAAAAAAGGCGGGAAGGAAGGCGACTGGGACGTCGTTTCGCGGTCGACGACCCGCAAAGTATATTCGACCGACCAACCCGATATCCCAACGAATAAGATGGCGACATATGGAAGGACCTTACGAGATTTACAATATTTGGTAAGTCAAGAACAGTTTTTTTCCTGGAAATAGTACTTGCGAATGAAATGTTCGTGCATGCAAAATAAGTTCTTCTATGGATGAGCAAAACTAGACTGAAATAGAAGACGGAGGAAGGGAATAGTGAACTCGCCCCTCACTTCTCTGGTCTTGGGGTTGATTCCTGAACCGGAGTAAGGTTTTTTAGATATCTCTCACTTTCGATTTGAGAATTTTTCTCCGGGTTCTCCGATTTTCATCCTTCCGTAAAACCGCGGAATTATCCGTGCCCTGACTTAGATCAGTTCATTTTAAGGTATTGATAAAATTTGAAGGTTTCGCAAAGGACTTCGCCGCGTTTCAATGTTTAGGTAAAGGTTACATAACTCTACATGTGGCAAATGTCTTCCCCCTCCCCCTCGTGAAAAAAAGATTATATGAGTAATTACTGAGGATAAGCCATTACGTTCACCGGTCTTCTGTTCTGTACCTCACAATCGAAAACCGACTTAGAGTCTTTCCGGCCGGCCAATGCAATTCTTTCAGCGCACCCAGAAATAATTAAACCCAAACAAAATGGCCATACATTAATTTGCGGAACTAAAACAGTTGGTAAAATGGACCTGGTGATTAAGAAGATTACTCCGATAGTGTATAGCTGATTGCTAATGCTATTGTTTTTCTTTTATTCCACAGATAAACGATTTCTAGCCATTGAAAGTAAGAGCAAAACATTTCTGAAAAACGTACGGTCTTGAATCAAAGATATTTTTATTAGAACAATCGATTTGTGGAAAAACGCTTTGGCAATTGCGGAATCAAGAACCGAAGAAACAAGATTGATTGATGATGATTCTTATTTCTATAAAAAAAATGAAGGAAAACTTAAATCATTTACTAATGGGGTTGCTTCTGCTTCCTTTCTCTCTTATGAAAGAGGAGCAGTTATGATACGACGAATGAAAAAATGGCAGTACAATGATTGTAAATCTTCTGAAAGAAAATAAAAGATGCTTGAACCAAAGCTTAACATGTATTTTGTTCTTTTAGTTTTGGATATGTTTTGAATAGTGAGAAAGAGCAAATTTTGGATTGTCTCGCAAATCGATTCAACCTTAAAATTTTATATGAACCTGAAACCTTTTGAGCTGATCAAAGTCAGGGCAAATTTAACTCACAGATCGAACCCTGAAACAACTCCTGGGCAGATCAAAGTCAGGACACACGAAGTTTAGTTGTTCCTTGGCGCATTCGTATTTCTGTAAAACCCTAATTCTGACGTTCAGCTTCATCGAATTTGCTTGGCTTTATACCAAGTTAGAAAACCATTCGAGTGCTAGTCAACAGTTAAGAATTTTCGTTCAAAAATTTATAAAACTGTTCTCTAGGTTTACACTGAATGAGCTTAAAACTGGCTATTGAATATTGCAGCTTGAAAAAAGAATGGTCGTAACAAACGGAAAAAATAAATTGGAGCATTATTAGGATAGAGTATTCAAAGCTACTTTTTCTGTCCATTTTGTTTTAAAAAACCGCCTGTGCCGGACTGAATAAAACAAAGAGCACTCTTTTGGCAGAGCAAACTGAACCGGAGATTGTTTCATGCAAGAATAGATGTTACCGGTTCAATAATAGATTGTTTTAGATTGACTTTTTTAGTCATCCCCGCAAACGGCAAACGTGACCACGTTTTCATAGTTTTCCTGTATTTTACTTTACATTTGCAAACCTTCTTACCAAGCGCAAATACTCTTTTGTTTTTCTACTACTTGAACTTTTTTGCAATTCTTTTTCAGTAATTTAAAAGAATTTCTTACTGGTCAACTGACGTTTCACGTTTGCCGTGAACGTAAATCTAAAACTCTCTAATGTTCCAAGACCAATTTCCCACTCAGCAAAAAAAATCAAAAGAAAAGACCCTTTACTTAAAGGTCGGTTTTATTATTTACAACGGTTTGAAAAAGTATTGATTTCCAAATAATATCACACTCAATTTCCTAAATCTTTAAAAACTGAAAAAATCATAAATTGATTGAAAACGCATGGGAATGGCTTTTTTAAAAATATTTTAGCAATAAACTCCCTTTGTTTTCTTAAAATTTGTCCGATAATATAATGCCACTAAATTAAGATTTATATCTTTAATGTCTTGGGTTTACTTATCTGGTCAATTGTTCTCGTTCAATATTGACTAACTTGAATTTTCGCTATCGTCTTCATCGACCACAAGCCTCAGTCTTTTTTTGGCTGTATTTACTTCTCTTTCAGAGTCTGAGTCATCGGCAGTTTTTCTTTTCTTTGTTTTGGTCACTTCTTCATCGGAAATTACCTTCACAGAATTATCATCGTCGTCGTCATCGGATATAGTTTGTCTTTTTGTTTCTTCTTCGCTTTCTTCACTGTCTACGACCCCCTTCAGATTTCCAAACAGTTTTTTCCTGTAAGTACGCGGGGATGGTATTGTCACTGGTGCAGCTTTGGTGACTGGCTGTCTGGTACTTCGTCTTGTTCGGCCTCCGCCTTCTATTGAAAACAGCAGAGACAAAAATTCATATTTTGCAATTACGTATACATGGTTTAGTGGCCAAGGCTGTGCATAAGATGTGAGAAGAGTTAAAAACCTCTTCCTTGATTCTAATGATTTTATCCGGGTTCTCCTGTTTTTCTTCCTCAGCAAAACCTAACACGCTAAATTCTAATTCCATTTGTGAGTTTACTTTAATCAAGCAAGAGGTTGTTTTTAAGTTTGATAAAATTTGAAGGTATGCTGTTCGTGAATTTTAGAACTCGGATTTTTTAAGTTCTTGTGACCAAACCGTTAAGGCCTTGTTTGTCAAAAGTAGGATAATAATAAGAAACCTTACTTACCATGTGTAAGGATGTTGGAGGTGTCCAGAGCTGCTATTTCATCGGCTTCTTCCTTCGCTTGTGAAAACTTTTTGCATTTTTCCAACGTTATTCTCCCTATCGTAATTTTTTTAAAATCAGAATCGAAGTATTTCAACGTAAGAAAAAATATCAATAGTTCATCCTTCCTTTTAAAGAAAGCACATAGAGTGCATAAGGTCGTGATTTGCCCTTTCAGAGAAAAAGCCAATTAAAGTTGGCATCCACATTCGCGTGTGGAAGATCTTTGGGTGGCAATTTTGAGCTCCAATTTGAGCCAAAAGAGAGTGATAATGATAGCGTGTATACCATATATCCGCTTAAAACGTTGTAAGAAATTTCACAAATTTGCACAAGTTAGTAAGTTCAGTAGACCTCAGTAGACCTTAGCCCTACAAAACTTCTCACTAATTCGTACAATTTTGTTAGTGAACTTTGTCACGGATATATTGTTTGCACTCTTTTACTTTTTGTAAATACAAAATGTACTTGCATATTTCTTCCTTAGAGAGAAATTCAATATTGACTTTTTTGGTGTGGATTTACCTTCTATCCTGGTATCATCACGTAAAGACTGTTCAAGAATCCTTTCCTTAGCCTTCATCGAATTACAATCAGCAAACAGCTTTTTGTAATTCTTAAAAATTTTACAGGCTCTGACGTATCTCTTTAGACTCTTTAACTTATGGCTGTCTTCTTCAGAAGGACCACTTTGGTTTTCTTTCTCCTGTAAGTAAAATAAATGTGGCAATAGTGAATATGGAGAAAGACATTTGAAAATATCTTTGTAAAAAGGACAGAAAGGAAGAGATCCAGGAGAGAAAGAGAGTACCGGCTAATAAAGAGATACTAAGAGAATTTATAAAAATATATTTATAAAAAGGGAAGATTTTATGGGTGGGGGAAATGAAGACTGACAAGAGGGTACATGAAAAGCATGTACGCCACCCATATTGGAGTACTTTACATTATACTCACTCTCTTCTTTCTGTTTTCATCTTTCTTATTTCTTTTCTTTTTCTTTTCATGTTTCTTGCTTTCTGTTTCTTCTTCCTTGTCAGAGTTTTCTGTTGATGATTCATTTGAGTCTCGTGTTTGCTTCTTTATTTTCTTCTGCAAACCCTTTTTTCCTTCATGTTCATGCTTGTTATCTTCCTCATCAGAGCTCTCACTATCTATTGATGATTCTTCTAGTTCTTGTATTTGTTTCTTTTCAATTTTCTTCCTTGACTCCTTGCCTTTGTTATCAGGGCTGTCATCTTCATCTGATGAAATATCTGAATCAGCTGCTTGGCTTTTCTCAACTTTCGTCACTTGCAAATCATCATCATTGTCGGAATCTGACTTGATTTCAACTGCTTGATTACTTTTTTGATTATTTCTTTCATCATCTGAGGAGGAAATATTGACAGATTCTGCTCCTTTTTTCTTTTCAACACCATCATCATCATCATCATTGTCATCATCATCATCATCATCATCAGAGTCTCTGTATTTTTTTGCTGCCTTCTTGGCTGATGATTTCCTCTTTGGCATGGATTCATCCTCACTGGAAGATGATATTGAAATATCATGCTTTTTGTCCTTCGATTTTTTCTTTAAGACTGACTTCCTTTTTTTCTTTGAAATTGTCGTTGTTTCATCACCGGATGATACTGGAGATTCATCATCATCTTTTCCAAATTTGCCCTTTTTTGCTTTTCTTTTACTTATCAATTTTCTTTTTTCTTTTTCTTCATCATGACTATCTTGAATCTCTTTCTCATCCTTCTCATCCTTCTCAGGATTTTTAGCTTTTTTCTTCCCTTGTGAATGTTGTTTTTCTTCCTCACTTTCAGACTCTACTTCATCTCTTTTCTTTGGGCTACCTTCATCCTTCTTTTTCTTTCCCTGTCTGTCCTTTGACGGTGAAGAAGTAGAAGTGTCTTCAACCCTGTGGTCATTATCATTTACTTTTTCTCTGTCTCTGGTCTTAATCTTTCTTGGTGATTTTCTAGGAGATTCACTGGTCGTACCCGTCATACTGTCCGAGTCTGAAAACCAAATAATTATAAGTAGAAAATATATGCTGCTCAGTCCAGGAATCAAACTCAAGACTCCAGATGTGAGAGCCAACACATGTCACTCTTGACCACCTCCCCCTCCCCCCTCCTCCCACATTAAATTGACCCCCTATATTGTTGTTTTTACTTATTCTTCTGTTGCTTTTCTTATTCTTTACATGTTCATGTTTTAATGAGTGATAGCTCCACTATGATATGTGTTTAAATAAACTATTGTCTTAGGGTCGTAACCCAGGGGGAGCACAGGGTGCACATGCACCCCCCATAAAAGCTTAAGGTCCACTCATTTATCTCCTTTTTTTCTTCTTTTTTTTTGGGTCTGCCAATCATTGCCTGTGCACCTCCCTGCAAGATCCCTGGTTATGGTTACGCCACTGAGTTGGTAACAAAAAACGATCAATGGTCCGATTTCATTTGATGTGCACCCTCCCTGTAAAAGTTCTGGTTACAGCCCTGTGTCTATTGTCTTGGATATGTATACCTTGACTCTGACTACAGCTAGTCTCATGTTCAAGATTATTGGTATATACTAAGAAAACCTTCTGCACAACAGCTTTAAACCTCTTGTTGTCTTCTGGTTCCAAGCTGTCCTGGTCAATGTGCTCTAAATATTTCTTGCGAAGAGATTTCACAGTATGAGTCCTGCGTTGATAAGTAATTATAATTAAAAATTTCTGTTAACCTTAAACAAACTCATGATTGATCAATGTCAGGGCAAAGCTAATTGATTGGAATTTAGTGTGTTGGTCTTGCTCGGGGGGAGGGGGGATCTCCTATATATAGAAGGGGGCTGGAATGCTCCTGTTGAGAGAACCTGGAGAAAAACCCTCTCCAATGAAGGGAGAGACACAAAAAACTCTAAGTACATGTTATGAGACTACGAATAAAACCAAAGACCCCAGAAGTGAGATGCGAGTGTACTACCACACTGGCACCATTGATTTTTAACGATTTATCCAAGCATGTTCAAATATTCTCATGTTTTTATGCATCAGTCATTTGAAACCCAGGTTAGTGATACTGATTGCCTTGCAGTATCGGACAGAATGTTAGGGGTAAGCTCCCTTGTATCTGGCTGAGAAAGCTGCACTTTGCTGGACTCAGATATGAGGAGAAGTAGATTCAAATAATTTGTGCATAACTCTTTACTTAATAGGCATAGAACAAGGAATTCGCGTGTTTTTATGTGTATTCTAACACGGTATCATTGGATTTCTTACCCTGCATCGTCGCTTTGTGAAAATATCTGGTACAAAAACCGTTCCACCTCCTTTTCATCCATCCTTTTATATTATTCAGGTTTGACACACGAGGATCGAGACGATCGAACGCATATACCTTATTAATACCACAAGTAGTTTAGAAAAATTTTCACTAAAAATCTCACCAGATTCTTTTATCGGCAGGATAAATTTTAAAGGGAATATGGATTAGCGATTGATTATTATCCAAATATAAAACAAAATACTGTAAAATCCAAATTGTTTGGTGTTTTGTTATGGCGGGAAAGTGAGATTCTCTTCCCAGGAAATCTTGCGGCTAGTTGACACACAGGGAACCCAATTTAGATTAAAATGTTCAACTCTAATAAAATCCGGGGGAAATAACTTTTATTGAACTTTTTGCATTTGATTTGAAGATAGCTTGATAGTGAATGAAAGAATCAAGCAAAATAACAGTAATATTTTTTCGCGCGCTTTTGTTTTCCGTTATGACTCCCCCATATTGTTCTATGTCATTCCTATGTAGAAAGACTGTATTTAAAAATAAATCGCATAAAAAGAAATATTAGCGCACTTTCTTGTCCTCACTCAAGAACAAAAAGTTCAATAAAGGGTCTTCATTTCGGAATATTTGCGTTTCATTGTTTAAAGAACTTTTATCCAAATTGGGCTCCCTGTGGTTGACGCCTGCGCAACAAGCTTCAAGATTCCAATATGGCGACTGGAGCAAACGAGGTACGTACGAGTTGATGTCCAAAAAACAACTTTAAACGTCTGAATTACTGTCTTTTCTCTTAAATTAAGGGTTAAACTGGATATTTTCTTGATCTTTCTACAGGATATTGTAAAGCATTCCGTTCATACGCTTGTTTTTCGCTCGTTAAAGCGAACCCATGACTTCTTTCTTAATGACCACGCGTTGCCAGTCGACAAGCATGAAGAATGGTAAGTTTAGCTTAAATCAATCTAAAATTGAGAATTTCTCTGTTTTATTTGTTCGATCTAATTCTATAAAATACCACAATCATTTCGAAAGCCTAAGGTCTGTATTCTTAGTTTAAAACAATTTTTGAAAAGCCAAAAATTGGACTTGAGACTTGAGGATTTTAAGGATTTTTTGCATGCTGAACGTGTTGGTAATCTTTCTTAGTGAGAAAGCAAAGATTGCCTGCAAAGTTCGTGACGAATATGAAGCTGTAAAAAACATGGTTCAAGCCAAAGACACAACAGAACATCTAAAACCACATCCAGAAAAGAAATCAACTGATTTGGTAACTGCATTACACAAAATCCCCCCATCAAGTCAGGGAGATGAAAAAATATCCAGGGCTTTAGTGTCTGTGGGTGGCGGGACTAAACAGCAGCCATCAACAGCAATAATGCAGCAACGCAAGGCTTCATCGTTACCAAAACCACAGTGGCACCCACCATGGAAGCTGATGAGGGTGAGTGTCTGGTAAACTCGGGTAACAATACATGGTGTATAAGAAACCTGTTATTGCCATGGCAATAGAAGCTTTGCACAGTCACATGATGGCAGCAATGTTGGACAGCAGATAAGAAAGAATTTATTTCACCAGAGTATARGGATTCTTTTGTCCTGCCATATTCTTGGGGTGCATGTTATATCACTCACAATCAAGATGGTAGCTGTTTCATTGTTATTCATATCGTAAGGGATTTTGAGTCATGTGGTTGCACCCCAAAGTTAACATGGCTGCCAGCAGCTGATCATGACCACCAATAATAATGATTTTTAATTTTTACGTGACTTATTGCTAGGTCATTAGTGGTCATACAGGATGGGTGAGGTCTGTCTCTGTTGAGCCTGGTAATCAATGGTTTGCTACAGGATCTGCAGATAGAACTATAAAAGTGAGTGGCATGCAGTAATTAATAATTATACCCAGGGCTTAAAATAATCACCAGCTAGTCGCTGGTCATGACGACCAGGCAAAATCAAAGATTTGACTGGAGAAGTTTCAATGCTAGATGTCAGATGACTGGCTGTTATTTTAAACCCTGATGCAAGTACCCAAGTTTATTCCCAAGAGATGAGAAATGGTCTAAAATGACTAGACTGAAAAGGGCCATTGGTCTTATATCAGTTAAGTATCCCCAAGTAGTAAACTGCACAGTAGGCAGGAGGGTGTTTAGTACACATCTGAATTCTCTCGTATATATTGTGCTACATCATTCTGTCAGAGATAAGGTTTTTGGCTTGCTGATAAAATGGCCTGTCAATGATTGTAGCTCTGATACAGCTCCTCCTTTGAATACGTAATACCATAAATACTTCTGTACACTGTTATTTTCAAGCTAACCAATTTTTGTCTTATCATGTAGATTTGGGAACTTGGTAGTGGAAAGTTAAAGCTATCACTAACAGGACACATAAGTACAGTGCGTGGTTTAGTTGTCAGTCCTAGACACCCCTATTTATTCTCTTGTGGTGAAGACAAGCAAGTAAAATGCTGGGATTTAGAATATAATAAGGTATTTGATGCATCTGTTAATTGTGTTTTAATTTTTATAAATGTTTTCATTGTCCATGGATTTTCCCATTATTTTGTTGGCATAGGTGCACAGTAGGCAGGAGGGAGTTTAGAACTTATCTATATTCTCTCGTATATATTGTGTTACAGTGATTCATGAGAGTTAGGTTATTGGTTTGCTGTTAAAGTTGGCTTACCAGTTGTTGACTCTTAAACATTTTAAATCAAATTTGTTAATCTTATTATTCTATTGTCTGTATGGCTGTCGTTGTTGTTTTTGGTATCACAATTTGGAATATTTAAGAAATCACCATAAGCTGAATGTATAATGTTTCTGTCATTTTTTTAATTAGGTTATTCGTCATTACCATGGCCACTTGAGTGCAGTCCATGCTCTTGATTTGCACCCTACAATAGATGTTCTTGTTTCTTGTGGAAGAGATGCAACAGCAAGGGTTTGTATCGGAAAGTTTTTAAGATCTTAATTTATTGGTGCAAAAATATTTTTTTAAAAGTTTCTCATTGTTATTCTTATTTTTGATCAGGTTTGGGACATTAGAACCAAAGCATGTATCCATACATTATCAGGACATACCAATACTGTGGCCACGGTTAAGACACAGAGTGTTGAACCACAGGTTAGTACAACTTTTCATAGAAACAGTCTTTTGAACCCTTTCAACAAATGTAGATCTGGTTTCAGTTAAATGTAAAGATGGACCTAATCTGAGTAGTAAGCATAATTCTTTCCAATTCAGATCATGTGTTACTTTTTTTGATGGGAAAATTCTTTGTTTGAGTTGTATCCATATTCATGTGTACTCTGTTGTGTAACTATCAAACAATGAAATGATACTCTAGGGAATGGCACATGCCAAGGAATGAGAAAAAAGTGAGATAAGTCCATCGTTGTTGGATTTTACTATTCAGGTCCTGAGAACCACATGACTTGTTAAATTTGATTCCTAGGGGTTTTTTTGTGTTAATACAGTATATGAAAAAATACTGTTGTTGCTAATAAAGGTTCTGCACTATTACACGAAGACAGCCATGTTGTGTCGTGACGGCCAATCAATATTAAGGAAGCCCTCAATAATTCTTACTTGCACAGTAGGCAGGAGGGTGTTTAGTACACATCTGAATTCTCTCGTATATATTGTGCTACATCAGTCTGTCAGAGATAAGGGGTTTTTGGCTTGCTGATAAAATGGCTTGTTAATGATTGTAGCTCTGAAACAGTTCATCCCACAAAATTATTAAGCTTCTTGGTTTCTATAGGATATCAAGATGGTGTTTATGTCATAAATCTATTAAATATAAAAAACACTGTTTTCATAGACTTTTTCTGAGATAGCAAACATGTTGCTAGTGGTATACCTATGGTACAAACATCTTATCTTCATCATACCTTTTATGGTGTTGTTTTTACCCAAGCTAGACCAGAATGCATCCTGTTTATGCAACTCAGAAAAGACCTATCATGTAATATTTCGTGATGTGTTCTAGATTATCACTGGAAGTCATGACTGCACTATCAAGCTGTGGGATTTAGCAGCAGGAAAGACAAAAGTAACATTAACAAATCATAAAAAGAGTGTTAGGGCTGTTGTTCTCAATCCAAACTCGTAAGTCTTGTTTTTTCCTTATTTTTTCTACATTGCTTGTATTATTAGGAAATAAGAGGAAGATAATTGAATAATCCTTTTATTCACTAGGTTCACATTTGCAAGTGCGTCACCTGACAATATAAAAATATGGCAATTTCCAGATGGTAATTTCTTACAGAATCTTCAAGGACACAATGCTATTATCAACTGTTTGGCAGTCAACTCTGACAATGTTTTGGTCTCAGGAGGTACGTCACTGTTAATTTAATAACTAGGCTAGCTCCAGTCACTAGGCCAGTGTGCAGTGGGTTGACTATGGTACTGTAGTTCTCACTTGGATGGGTTAGCATCACATCCAGGGGAAGCAGTAGTAATCTTTTATTAAATCAGTGGATGTTGTGAATTCTGCACTAGAATCAGTTAAACCCACATGTACCAATTTTGTCATAAAAACTTACTATAGAATCACAACACTGATCATCAATCACAGCTTCAGCATGTTTAGGTTGGAATGTCCATAAGTCTGTTAGAATGGAAGTAGGTTGTAGGAAATGTTGACAACCCCTCTCATCTCTCATACCAACCTCTCACACACACACACACACACACACCCCCACACACACACACACACCCCCCCCCCACACACACACACCCCCACACACACACACACACCCCCACACACACACACACCCCCACACACGCACAGTCAACATTGCCACCCCCACTAACAACAACAACGACTATAGAGTTTTTATCTTTTGATCTAAAGGTGATAATGGCACAATGCACTTCTGGGACTGGAAAACTGGATATAATTTCCAGAGAGTGCAGGGAACTGCACAACCTGGATCTCTAGACAGCGAGGCAGGCATCTATGATATGATATTCGACCAGAGTGGTAGCAGACTCATTACTTGTGAAGYCGACAAGACTATTAAGATTTACAAGGAAGATGACAGTGCTGTAAGTAGTTGGATATCGTGTATATATAATGGAAAGCATTGGTATCGTGTGCTGGTGTTGTGTCTGTATCGTACTATTTAGTTCACTGCAGACCCGCTATGTTATAACCTAACACCAACGTTATTTACTGTAAAGCTGGTTAGAGTATAAATAGGTTTTTATATGTACACTTTGTATCATGGAAAATTCTAAAATGCAGAAATTTAAATTAATGTCAACCATTTTTGCTTTTGTACAGAGTGAAGAAACACATCCTATCAACTGGAAGCCTGAAATATTGAAGCGAAAACGATATTAACATATTCATTTTACAAGGATATATTACTATTGATGCTTTGCTGATGAATTTCAATTACATGTTTTTAACAAACATGTATAAATACTAGCAGACATTGTAATATAAAACCATGAAAACTGTTGTACAGTTTTATGCAGAACTAGGGAGATTTATTGTACTTGATATAATTATTACTGAACTTTAAAAAGCCTAGATTACCATGTCTTCTAGTTTTAAGTATTTGTCATGGTGACTCCTTGGAAGTTTTATGGAATAATTCAAGTGTGAAGAAGATTACTTCTGTACTACAAGAAGTGGGCTGAAAAAAAGAGTGTAACCAGCTATTTTTAATCAACTTTGAGCTGTTTGAATATGGGATGAAATATTTCTTAAAGCTTTTAGTTTAGAAAACGTTTTTTTCATATCTGACTATCCATTACTCAAGGGAGGAACATGGTCTGATATGGAAAAATATTAAGCTTATATCTTATGGGCCTTTTTCACGTGACAGCCATATTGGTTGGAACAATAGATTCTACCACGCTAGCCTCACATACAAGGGTGTGAAAATAAATTAATGTAGGTTAAACAAAGGTTTTTATTCTCATGAGAATAAACATGGCCGCGGTGTGATAAGGCCCATTGACCCCATTTGTATAAATTAGTTTTATAAATACATTATAAAGTATTATCAAGTAAATAAAAAAATCTTTTTAATAGTGTCCTAGTATGTGCTTTTTATATATGTGCTTTTTATCACAGAGTTTTCAGATCAATGTGCAACTTTGGGCTAGCCGAGTGGGTAGGGTGCATGTATAATCACAAAAAGATAATGGAATTCAAGGGCATTTGATTATGGTTGCTATGGTTATGCTAATTGAGCTAAAACACATTTTATGAATATTTGTTAGTTGTTAAACAACTCTACTCACAGGGCCGTAAACCAGGGGGAGCACAGGGTGCAAGTGCACCCCCCATAAAAGCTTAAGGTCTGCTCATCTATCTCCTTTTGCTTTAAAATTGAATGTAAATGTTTTTTGATTAAATGAAGACCACTTTCCATCTGCACGTTGTAGCATTTTTAAGAATTACTCATCCATTATTTTATTTTGGTTCTGCTTATTTTTTGTTTACCTTTTTTTTTTTTTGATTCTGCATATCATTGGCTTTGCACCCCCCCTGCAAGATCCCTGGTTATGTCACTGACTCACATACAAAACCAAGACAGGTTAGGACTCACACCTGGGTTGCATTGTTAAGAGATGCCATATTAGCAACACATTACACCCATGTTTCGAAATAAAGCCAGCTAAGATAGGGCAAATATATTTCCTATATTTCCTAATCAAAAGTGAGCCTGGGAAAAAAATTGTTTAGGAGCCACTTCGCCACTTTAACTTTTAGAGTCAAACCACAGGAAGACCATAAAATGAAAATAAATGAAATTTCAACGAGGAACAATTTTAGACTTTTGTTTGTAAGTAAAAGAGATTAAACTTAAACAGAGTTTAAAGACTTCTTTTATTTTTTCTTTCGCCTTTTTTTTATTTTTTTATTTTTTCTTTCTTTTTCTTTCTTTTATTTTGTCACGCAATCAAATCAGAGAAAGGTAACAAGACAGTCACACAACAATCGCTTGGCGACCAAGCAGTAACTGTAGATCGAATAATGGCGCTCGTGGTGAGTTTATTTGGTGTCTCACTATCGACCCTAATTTCTTCTGCAATTCTTTTACTTATAGGCCTAATATTCTTGGTAAGTATTAACTAAAATTGTAGTGCATAATAAACTTCAGCTTTCTTCATAATAATAATAAAACTAGCCGTCTAAATACGACTTCTTGGACCTTGCTTTGACTATGAAAATATCTCATAAATCATTCCATATTCCAGGGACTTCTAATGATTCGTTTAACTACAACAAATAAAGTACCAGAAATACGGCGGTTTGAGAGTGAAAAGACGTACAAGGACCCCAACAAGAATAATGCCACGTATTCCTTTCCGTTCATGGAGGAAGAAGGTTCTGTTGACTTGTCTATAGTGGTTCCAGCATACAACGAAGAGGAGAGAAGTAAGCTCATCACATGATCGATCTAACCATCAAAAAAATAACTATTTTGATTTTAATATTTACACCTCCTTACATCCAAATTTTAAGAATGAATTCAATTTTTAGCAAAATTCATTCATTTTTTTATTTAAGAATTGTTTATTGACTACCTGTAAGTATATTTGCTAAAAAGCATAATTTTATAAGATATCTAAGTATATAGCTTCTCCCCCTTTTATCGGGATATCTCCATTAGTTATGGCTCTTGACTAATGTGTTTTCAAGGGATGTGATTATAGTCAAGTAGGGCTTTTGTATTCTTGGTTACATTACCATAATGTTAGATCAATCTTGAGATTGGTGGAGTACACATCCATTAAATGAATCTTTTATTTTAGACACAAATGGATACACATGAGAAAAGACATCATAGTACTTTTAAAAAAAAAATTCTGAAAAACCTCTTCTTCAATGTTCGAAAATGTTTAGTGCCAAAATACCTCCTGTGCGATTTGTTCATATGTTATGTAATTGTTTTATTCATATTTAAAACTTTTTTTTTTTTTAAATTAATTTTGAACGAATAATAGAAAAGTTTATTGACGTTGTTCAAAATTAAATATACATCAAAAACAAACATTTCAGAACAGCAGCTGAAATGATGATAGCTTTTATTGCATGTTTTTAAACTTAAAAAAATGCAAAAACTGTCTGTTTAGTGGGGTGCGTCTGCACGCCCCGTAGCCTACGGGCCTGTTTCTATTCAGTAGCCTGAGTTCAATGAGGCTAATGTACCATCACTATAGCCCTAATTTTTTGTCGAATAGTCTCAAGGGTGGATCCAGCCAAAATTTTAGGGGGGGCTAATTGAGTTTACGGGGGCTAATTGAGTTTCTTCCGTCAACACAACAGAAAACAATATAAAAAAGCATTGTTTTTTCGTGCTGAAGGGGGGGCTTCAGTCCCCCTTTGCCCCCCCTGGATGCACCTTTGAGTCTTACATCAAAATCCTCTACCAACAATTTTTTATTAATCTCCTTATATCCATAGCTTATTTCAATAATAGAAATTGTGTATTGGAAGTAAAAATAGTAAAATGAATACTCTAATTTATTCATTAATAGTGCCGACTATGCTGGATGAAGCTCTGGGTTATCTCAAATCAAAAAAGGTAGATTATTTAGTTTAGTAGTGTTTAAAAAAAACTAATGTCAAGGTCATGGGAAAACAAAAATTATGAAAATTTTCATGTAAAATGCATTTATTATTCCAGAAATCCAATCCTTCATTTACATATGAGATCATTATTGTTGATGATGGGAGTAAAGACAAAACAACTGAGGTAATAACAAGATGCTATAAGTGAAATTATTTACTAGGATGATGTGCACAACACRAGCAAACTGTTTTTATGTCTTGTCTCATGAAAAGAACAAACATTGTGGAATGTTGCAATGAGCTTTCTCTGTGGCTCGTCATTTTAAAACTTATTCAATTTCTATCATCAGATTGGTCTTCAGTATGTGAAAAAATATGGCATTAGCAATATTAGAGTTTTGACGTTAGCTAAGAATAAAGGAAAAGGTGGAGCTGTTAGACTGGTAAGTGGCACATACTGTACTTACCATCTTCACTTGTTGTATTTTACATACCTACACAGTCCCAACTAATATTACCGCTAGTCATTATCAGGTTGTACATGATACCACTGTTAGCGAAGTTATTGAACCTTGAAACAAGACCTGGAATTTCTCTACATTCAGTTTGGAAATTGAAATTTGAAATTTATGCTGAAATTGAATTTCTGAAATATTTTAGGGTGTTCTTAGTAGCAGAGGTCGAAAGATCTTGATGGTTGATGCTGATGGTGCAACAAAATTTTCTGATTTAACCAGATTAGATGATAAACTGAATGAAGTGGTCAAGACAAAGGTGTGTTTGTGAAGCAATTTATTCATAGACTCTATGCCCACCATAATAATAGTCTTAACTTTTATAAATATGTTTTTACCTCTTTCAAAGTCACCCCTCAACCCACTCCCCCTCAAAAAGGAGCACCCCACTTCCCCAAAAGAGTATCCAAAGGCAATACCAGTTCATTTCTTTCATTCTCCCTACTGTACTTGTTGTATGCAGCAACTGGTACATCACATTGACAAATGTCATAGATACAAAAATCAAATTTATTTAACTTTGTTGTGTTAATAATGGTGGGCTTCCTGTGGTACAGTGTCCACAGGTATTCCAAAGACATTGACTCCAATACAGTTCACTAACATATACACATTTGTTGTCATTATTTTACATAAGGGAGTTAAATCAGCCATAATAGTTGGATCAAGAGCTCATTTACAAGAAGAGGCTGTAGCTCATGTAAGTTTACTTCGTAAATTTATCTTGTGTGTATGTTATTGTAAATTAGATAGTTTCATCAATAGGAGAAGAGCCACCTCGTGGATTCTATTGATTAAACCATTATTATTATTATTATTATTAT